ATATGCATCGAGGTTCTTGGCCCGATGGACCCCAACACCCTTAAATTTCTTAAGGAAAAATGCAAAATGACCAGCGTCAGATCAGGCGACAGCAGGGAACTGTTTTTCGCAACTAACCACATTTCGTGCTTGTTGCAGCGGTTCCTGCGTGTCTGTGTGCTTAAAAATATCCAACTGAATGCCGACATGCGCAATTAAACGACAAATCAAAGTGTTAATCCATTTGTTACTTGATGTTTGACGGTTCATACATACATACATACATACATACATACATACATACATACATACATACATACATACATACATACATACATACATACATACATACATACATACATACATACATACATACATACATACATACATACATACATACATACATACATACATACATACATACATACATACATACATACATACATACATACATACATACATACATACATACATACATACATACATACATACATACATACATACATACATACATACATACATACATACATACATACATACATACATACATACATACATACATACATACATACATACATACATACATACATACATACATACATACATACATACATACATACATACATACATACATACATACATACATACATACATACATACATACATAAATACATGCATGCATACGTTACACAAACACATACACACAACACATACACACACATACACATCCACACTCACACATACACACACACACACACATACGTAGAAACGCACGCGCGCACACGCATACACACGCACATAACATTTTTCGTATTTTTGTCACACAATGAAAGCAGGAAAATTTCAAAATTATCCATGAAGTCTATCTGTGTGTAAAATAAATGAAAAAGATGAGGATGAAGAAGAAGATGGTGAGGGAGATGATAATGATAAATTGTTGATAACGTTTTCGAGAATGACATCTGATGATTATTACGAAATGTTGGCGACGCTAAACACAAACACGCACTTTTAAAACCCTTTAACAGCGGGCAGGTTGAAACTTAACGAAGTACTGGAATGCTTTATTAGCCCTATATGTTCACTATCAATTAATTTAAGTGCTAAGTTTATTATTTTCTTACAAAAAATTAGATTGAAACTGCAAAAAAGGCTTTTCTGCCTCGCTGTCCTATTCATTATTTCGTTATAGACAAAATTTAAACAAAATGGATTTCAATCAATCAATTAGTTCAACAGTTCATTAGTTCAAAGTTCAACAGCTCTCCTTAATGAATTTTGTAAACCTATATGGGTCTTGAGATCCGCTCTGAATTTCTTAAGTCATGGAGAATTAGTCAAAGAAGGAGGTGCAAATGTTTTGTTGTTAAGGAAATTCAAAACGTCACAACAGTATTTGTGACGTAAGTAACATATATATAAAAATTAAATTTATTAAATTTCAACTTCAGTTGAAACATTCTAACTGAACATCTGCTAAGCCCAAAGTTAAATTATTTACATTTTTATTTTGAATTAAATTCGGATTTAAAAGTAGAGAGGCCCTTATCCTTAACTTTTTGTTAAAATTGGTGAATCAAATACATTTTAAAATGAGGCAGACGTTTGCATGATGAAATATTTTATTCAAATAAAAAACAAACAAGGAAAATCTGAAAACCTTCACCGCTTTTATTTAAAAAAATTTTTGGTTTTTAACAACAGATTTCTGCAAATTAAAAGTTAACGTCTAACAAGTTCGATACATTTATTCAACCATCGAACTGACAAATTGAACAAAAAGTACTTAAGCATTTAACATCATTCTATGCAGCCCTTTTCAAGGTTTAGGTAGAGTTAAAAAACCTCCACAAACTGAACATAATTTAACTTTGCAGTTGACAGTATAGATACGAATTTTTGTATGGGAGTGATCATCATCATGTTGATCCCAATAATTACAATATTTCATCTCTATACAATCTTCACCTCCATTTTGATAGTTTGCTTCATCGACGCCTAATCGTTCAAAATTCAACTCTACTTTTGTTTTTTGATTTCTGAAATTAACGAACTCGAAATTATCGGTGTTATTAATTCTAGTGCCTGCCATCCAATAGTAGTAAGAGATAGGCTCATAGTATGAATACGAACCTAAACAGTCATCTATAAAATGAATTGTGAAAAAGTACTTTAATGTCAAATAAGAAGATTTGCATATAAACTATTCATGATCGGTTTAACTTATACGTTCAACGAAATAATTTTTACGAACACAGTTTTGAAATTTTTATACTACTGAGAAAAAAAAATTAATTTAAATTGGTTTTAGATTTAACATATGCGCAAAGTAAAATTTTTGGGGAGGGAATTTTACAAATAGAACTTATGTTAGACAACCTCTATAGTATTTCCGCAAAAACTTTTCCAGCCCGCTCAAATAGGAAAAAGTCACAATAGATGATAACATAGAACCAATAGCTTGACAGGCTTTGGCACTAGTATCCTGCGATACTTTTGTCGTATTGACGTAGATACAATGGTAGTCAGTTATTTTATCTGCAAGATATTCGACTTCTATGCTGAAGTAGGGATCAGGGCAAGCACCTGCAAGTCCACAAGATGCAGTTTCTTATCTGAACGAATTTCATTGCACCGATCGTTCTGTTCGATGTATACATATAAATGACAGACCTTCGCCAGTGCAACCAAAGAGGCCAACCAGAAGCAGCGATGCTTGGAAGACAGTTTGGATTTCACCCATATCTTTCGCTGAATCTTTTTCCTAAGTGTTGTGGTTTAAAATAAACAAAAATTCATTATGGATTAAAAAAGTAAAATATTGATAATTATTTTAAATATCAGAGCTTAGATTAAACTTATTCAAATATATACCAACGCTATGTGTTTCAAGAAAAACTAATTATATATTATGAAAGAATTTATTTAAAAAATTTCACAAAAAATTTTTTAGCCAAACGATTCTTATAATGTATGTATATAATTTAGTCTCAACTTGCATTTTCCAAACATCTGCTCTTCCCTCAATACTCTTGCATATATTGTGTGCTTTCGTTCGTCTCTAAGTAGCGATCGATTTATACAGTCAATAGTTTTTTATGTTTCTTAACTTGAAATTTTAACATTCCAAGTAGTTGAAATTCAAATTATTCAAGTTTTAGTATGCTAAAGTACTATAAAAGATTGTTTATTGAAATAACCTTTGTTGTTTATTTCAAACTGAATAATAACTAAAGTCTTTTAAGAAACATCTTGAATAAAAGAAGAATAATTATAACCGTAAAATTTATTGCAAAACCTGTATTTTATTTAAAATGTAACGTTTAATTAGCTAGCTGATAAATTCAACATTTGTGATACTTATAGGTAGATAAAAATTATCATGGCTGATAGGGACAATGCGTTTCCTATTTGTACACAAGCTCTCATAATGGAGAGTTCTCAAGCTCTGTTTATGTTATGTTATGTTATGTTATGTTATGTTATGTTATGTTATGTTATGTTATGTTATGTTATGTTATGTTATGTTATGTTATGTTATGTTATGTTATGTTATGTTATGTTATGTTATGTTATGTTATGTTATGTTATGTTATGTTATGTTATGTTATGTTATGTTATGTTATGTTATGTTATGTTAAGTTACTTATTTTGGATAACGAACATATTCATACTATTTTATCATTTTAATTTAAACTTAGCTAATTTTAACATTTACAATTAGCTAATTTAAAATTTTTTATTGACCTTTTTTATTTCGATTATTTTGATTATACTGGTGTTCTTTGAATAATAAAAAAGTTCACATCATTACAATTCTCACACGAACTATCTATACAATAATCAACAACAAACACTAATTTTTACTAACAATAATAACAACAAAACAACAATAATAACAACAATGATGGTAGTAATTGGAAATACAGCAATAACAAAAATATGAGAGACGTAGTAGTGTAGTAGCTACTTTGAATTTTTTAGCGCGACAAAAACATTTTTTATGTAAAGTTATTCATTCATAAAATCTTTTCTGAGTGAGTTTGTTTGTTTGTGTGTGTGTGCCTGTGTGTATGTGTGTGTGTGTATGTGTGTGCGTGTGTAGGTGCATTTTTTTCTCTTTCTCTTTTCTTTTTTCCTCTTTGTTTTGTCTCTTTCAATCTCTCTATCTTTCTCTCTCTCTCTTTCTTTTTCTCTCTCTCTCTTTCTCTCTCTCTCTCTCAACAACACTATCAACAACAACTACAACATCTAAAGCAACAACAAAAATATAAACTACAGCAACAACTTTTACCGCTCCATCACTAGCAACAACAACAACGTCTCATAAAAAAAACTATCGAAACAACAGCAAAACACATTAACAGTAGCTACAGCAGCCACAACAACCGCCACAAAAATGACATCAACAAATGCTCTCCAAAAGCTAGTAGCAGCAGCATGACTGTGGGAATGACAATTACTGTTCAGTATTGAGACTAATTAAGTTAAGTAGAAACATCTTGGCAAACTGCAAAGTTGTTGCTGAATGCTGTTTTGGTGGATTGTGTTTAATGCTGTTGGTGGTCGAATTGTGGTGGTGAATGGTCCAATTTTAAGGTGAATTGATGAATCGTAAAATGAATAGTTGGTGTGAATTGTTGAATGTTGTGGTTAATTGTTGAAGTTTTGTTGAGTATTGTAGGGAATTGTTGAAAATGAGTTAGAGATTCGTTAAGTGCTGGTATAGAGTTGTTGAATAATATGGTTAATTGTTGAATTTAAAAAAAAATCAATAAATTTTTATGAGAATGTTGAAGTGAACTGTAGAATGTTGATGTGAATTGTCAAACGCTTGAGTGAATTGTTGAAGTTTGTGTTGGACATTTAAATCTTGGTATGAATTGCTAAATGCTGAAATGATTTGTTGAATTCCCAAGTGAATTGATGAATTAAGATTGTTCTGGCAATATATTGACGCTGTTTTTACAAAAATGTCATTTTCATCCAACTACATCTTGGTAACATGGTGCAACAAAAAATTACAAATCCCAAGTAAATTCCATTACTACACTACAAAAAGCATATCAAACTATGATAAAAAAAAAACCTCAGGGACCTCATAAAAAACCAGCCCGAAATTAAATATGACGATTTAGAACGAGAATGCCTAGCGATAATAATGTACAAAACATTAAAATCACATAAAAGAATAAACCATTTCAAACATCGAAAGATAAAATGAACATTTAAAAAGAGCCCATCCCAAGAAGATGTTGATTTATTAAGAGGTCATAAACGAAGGGGTCGTATTTAATATTTTCAGGGCACTGAAGGTCAAAGGTCATATATTAGAATTTTAAAAAAATTCCATAAAAATGTGTGACCAAATAATTTTTTGTTGACTTAATTCAATGAACCACAACAACAGAACATCCTTGATTAACTTTTTTTTTTGTTGATAAAAAAATATCAACAAATATATATTTGTCATAACGATAGTGAGAGTTTTATATAAACGATTATTATAACATAAAATCATGATATATATTCTTTAAAAAATTAATAAACTCATTTATTAAAAGTTTTTTCCATCAATTCATCATCTTTAATAATACAAAAACCTATAAAAATTATTTTTCAATAATGTGGTGTTAAAGTGCAGAGTGATTTTCGTGGTAAATTGTTGAATGCTGATGTGGACTGTTGATGTGAATTGTTGAATGTTGAAACGGATTACTGAATGTTGGTGTGAATTGTTGAATTTTGATGTGAAGTGTTCAACGTTGATGTCCAATTTTGGTGTGAATCGATGTATGTTGATGTGAATTGATGTATGTTGATGTGAATTGATGTATGTTGATGTGAATTATTGAATGTGAATTGTTGAATTTTAAATTTAGGATGGGAATTTTTAAATGCGCCTTTGATGACGATAATGACAAAGAAGATGGTGATGACCGAAGAACTGTAAGAAGACACTACAGAATGTGATTCCAATGATTTCTTCAATCCAATTCAGCACATTCACAAATAATCATTCGAGTTAACAAGAATTTTCATTTGCACAACGGAAGAGAAGTCTTTAAAAATATTTCAAGAATGTGAAAAATTCTCCCCTTTATATATATATAAATTTTAATTGGCGTGTTAAAAAATTTTTTAAAACTCTGAAGTATGCCAGAAAAAAGTTTAAATGCAAACTTCAAATAAGGCGAACTGACATGATCAAAAAACTAAGTTGTATAAGTTATGTCTCAATTACTTTTTTCGTTCAAAATGCGAACACGCACGTACACATGAATACACAGTACACACACACAGCATGTACACATACACACACACACAAAAGTATACACATACAACACACACAACATTCACACAGACAAACATTAAAAATATTGTACATACACTTAGACTAACATACACATGCAGATATTTACTTCATCTAATTGTAAACACAAACAAACATACAAACAAACATACAAACGACCACAGATAAAAATAAAAAAGAGACAGCATTGTAACCATGCAAGAGCTAATAAAACAAACCTTCATAAACATACATACATAATACATGCACACATAAAACATACACACAGATGATGCGTCTGTATGTATGTATGTATGTATGTATGTATGTATGTATGTATGTATGTATGTATGTATGTTTGTATGTATGTATGTATGTATGTATGTATGTATGTATGTATGTATGTATGTTTGTATGTATGTATGTATGTATGTTTGTATGTATGTATGTATGTATGTTTTTATGTATGTATGTATGTATGTATGTATGTATGTATGTATGTTTGTTTGTTTGTTTGTATATATATATATTTAATATATATATATATATATATATATATATATATATATATATATATATATATATATATATATATATAAAGGTCTTTTAAAATTTATATGTATGTGTGTATAATGACAACCAAAAACACAAAACAACAACCAAAGACACATAATAACAACCAAAGACACATAATTACCTAACCTAACGCCATAGAAATTTTATAACACGACATTAAACAAAAATACGTCCTTAGGTTAGTCGTTTTATTGTTGTCTTGTCAGCTATTTTTCTACCTTTTTTGTTGAAAATAATTTCGAATTTTTTACTTGGCGGATTATTTATTCGTAATAATTTTTTTAACGGTGTTTTTCGGTCAAACGACAAAAATGTCTGAAAATTTCGAAAAAAATTTTGAACCGAAAACAAAAATAAAAAGTTCGACATAAGACAACACCGTAAAAGAAACATCCAAAAATTAATAATCTATGTATGCATGTGTGTGTGTGTTTGTGTGTCTGTATATATATCTATATTTTATGAGTTTAGCTCCCACGCCTTTGCTGATGATATTCAGTTATTGGTATTGGTTTCTTATCCTGTTGATTCGATTGATGCTTCTCTGAATGAACTGACTGATTGTCTCATCGAAATTGGATCTGGGATGAGTATGAATCAGTTAAAGTTAAATCAATCTAAAACACAAATATTACCGGTTGGTTCTTGGCAGCAGCTGTCGAAGGTCAACATTTCATCGATCAGTGTCGGCAATGACATCATTGAATTTTCCACATCTGTCCGTAGTCTTGGAGTTATTATTGACTCAAACCTAAAGATGGATTTGCGTATTAATAATAAAATGAGGGTCTGCTCCTACCAACTCCGTTTATTACGCAACGTCAAAAAATCACTAAACACGTCTGTTCTTCAAAGCTTGGTTTTCTCTTTCGTCTTTTCCAGACTAGACTACTGCACTGGCCTTTTTCATGGTGTCACCAAAAGGTCTTTTTCAAAGCTTCAGTCAATACAGAATCGTGCGGCCAAGCTGGTTTTGGGTGGTTCGTGGTTCGATCATGTTACGCCTATTTTGAATAGGTTGCACTGGTTAAGGGTTGAAAAACGTGTTTTCTTCAAGTTGGCAGTTTTGATGTTTAAATGTGTCAATAATATATCTCATTTTTCAAAATATTCCTTCCGATCAACCGAGCGCAATTTATTTTTTATCCCGGCCCCAAAATTGGTGACGGGTTCCCGCAACTTTGCGGTTCTTGGCCCGATTGTTTGGAATGGTTTACCTCCATACTTACATGACCCTAACCTATCATAATTACAATTTCGAAGTCAATTTAAAACTTATTTATTTGCACAATGAATGTCCGTTTTATTTGTCTATGATTTAGTAGCGCTTTTGAGATTCAACAATAAAAAAGCGCTGTATATAAATTTTCGTAATCATAATAATATATGTATGTGTGTGTGTGTGTATGTGTGTGCTTCTGAGTGTAATTGTGTATGTATGAGCGCAAGTATCTATGGAAGCAGGTATATATGAGTTTATGTTTTTCTGGTGAAAATACACATTCATATATACTCGCTTACATGTTTGTAGGTTTGTATTCTATGTTTGTTTGTTTGTTTGTTTGTTTGTTTGTCTGTCTGTTTGTTTGTTTGTATGTTTGTGTGTTTGTATGTTTGTTTGTTTGTATGTTTGTTTGATTGCGTGTTTGAATGTAGAAAAACTTTACTAGACAACCAGCAAAAGACATCAACAGGGCAGAGTGGCATAGCATGGCTTTCAATGCTTTGTCAGATAACAAAACTCGGATTGCTCCCGCGAATGTAAATAGTCCTCCTATATGTTGTATTTTTTTGTCGTAAATTAGATCGGGCATCTTTCTGTCGTAAATTGTTATTGGCTGCTCGCAAGTGATGTTTTTTTTTATTCCGTGGGAAGTAAGCATGAATTCATGGTGAAAAGAATTTATGGTGAAAAGAATTCATGGTGAAAAGAATTTATGGTGAAAAGAATTCATGGTGAAAAGAATTTATGGTGAAAAATTTACACACCAGCTGTTTTTGATGGCGTATTTGTGTCCTGTGTTTGGTATGAAATGTTTCAAACTTTTATGTTTTGTCATCAATTTCAAGTTAACCGTTTTCTGGTATGTGCCTATTTTTAATATATAGGTGGCACAATAGTCTAATGGTTCAGGTGCCTGGCAGTGCTGTTGCATTGACTGGGTTCGAAAACATGGGTTCGCCTGTGTGGGACGTATTTATATACCACGTATAATTTTTGGTGATGTTTTTGAAAAAAATTAATGAGAGGATTGAAAAAAATGTCGTCTGAATTTTATTGTGGCTTCTTTTTTTTACAAATTTTTTAGAAATGAAAGGGTTGCTAGAGTCAGGCTTTTTTGATACTTTGTTGAAAAATTATCATGTAGATGATGATGGATGAAGATGATGACGTTTTCGCTTTATATAAAGATATCCAGTCGTTATTGAAATTTTAAATCGGGAATTGAACTATAGCGACTGAACTGTCTGCCTCGACCTGAAAACATTGGCGAATAAACCTAACTACCTTTCATAAATACTCATGAGGGCAGCTGATGACGCCCTGTATAAAATGTTTATAATAATGTATGCATGACGGGAAAGTTGCATAAGATTTGTATATGCCACATGTAGTGGGATCTCTATGCATTCAAACCCACTCACTACAACACTAGTGCCAGGCATCTAAACCACTGAACCACCCATTTGCTATTATTTTTCAACACTTTATACAAATTGGTTGTTTTTGTGGGTTGTTCTTATTCAATTTTTTTGAGTCTGAACAAGAAGACATGTTGGCGTTGTCGTTCGAAGGACTCCATAGAGTAGTATTCATCATTTTATCGCTTCTATATACGCCATTAAAGTTGTGTGTGTATGTGATGTGTGTGTGATGTGTGTGTTTGTGTGACGTGTGTGTGATGTGTGTGTGTGTGCGTGTATGTGTGTTTTGAATGTGTGTGTTATAGAAGTTTTTAATGTTTTTCGTCTTGAGTTATAATATAATTTCAAAAGTTTAAATACAACCGCGGATAATCCTGCCTCTTTGTTTGTCACAAAAACAATCCAACTAACGCCAATTAAGGCCCAAAAAACTGATCCATTACATCAATAACCAAAACCTCATGACATCAGATCTCAAGACCTCAAGTTAATAATAACTTGGTGACATCAAAGCAAAAAACATCACAAAGAACTTGATTGAAAGATTAATTAAAAGGGCAAGAAATCTCCATCTAATCGCTCTATTAAACTATGTATTTAACAGCAGATAAACCACAACACTAAAATTTAAAAAAATTCCACAAATTGAAGTTAGCATCTGTATGACAAGTAGCAACAAAAACACGCTCTTAACTGCAGAATGGACGACTGAAACATTGAAAACAACATCAACAGCAACAACTACATTAGCAACAACAAATACATCAACATCAACAACAACCACATCAACATCAACCTCAACAACAACATCGACATTAAAAAATAACATAAACAACATCAACAACATTGAAAACCTTAACAACAATATCAACAACAACTACTACATCAACAACAACATCAACAACAACAGCATTAAAGAACAACAACCACAACATCAACAATAACATCAACAACAATATCAACATCAACAACAACAACAACTATAGTATAAACATCATCAACAACATCAACATGTCTGTCAACATTTTGTGTTCTAGAGGATTAGCTCGTACATTCAGTAAATAGAAAACGTAATCATATTTTTAAAAGACATCATCATTATCACCATCATCATCTTCATCATCATCATCCCACCACCATCATCATCACCATCATCGTCGTCATCACTATTATCTTCATCATAAATGTCAATTTAATCAACTTCATTGCTTTCTCCCATCTTCAAACCTCCATAGATATTTATATTTCATCAATTCCATTTACATCAGCGTTATTTTATCTTTGCTTTCGTCATCGTCAACCATACAAAATAAATTTCGTTGTTCTATATTGTCAATGTTTTCGTTTATTATCGTCTTTTAACTGATTAAACAAGAATCAAACAAGAAGACATTTGTAACAATTAAAGTAATAATAAAAATTATAATAATTAAAAATATTAAATTCATAATTATAACAGTATTATAATTATTTTTGTAATAATTAATACAATCCTTGATACACTGATAAGCACATTATCATCATGGAGGCCAATAAGAAAAACATATTTTATATTTATAAATACTTTTATAAAAATACTTTTAAAGTTCTACAGATTATTAGTAAATCAATGGTTTTACTTGAGCAACAATAGTAATGGTAGAAAGAGAGTGTACTTACAAAGTTATAAATTTTTTTCAATGTTTGCGTATGTCTTTGTCTGTGTGTCTGTGCTGATGTTTGCCTGAGTGTGTGTGTGTGTGTTTTAAAACATTGAAAATACTTTTAAAGTTCTACAGATTACTAATCAATAGTTTTACTTAAGCAAAAGTAGTTGTGGTAGAAGGAGTGATCCTTGAAAAGTTAGTAAAATTTATATGTCTTTTGTATGTTTGTGTATTTCTTCGTTTGTCTATTTGGGTTGCTGTTTGTCTGCACGTGTGTGTTTGTCTATCTGTGTTTGTGTCTGTCTGTGTTTGTGTTTGTCTGTCTAATTTCCTTTATGCGTGACGATCAGTCTGGTTTTATTTGTCTGTTTGAATGTCAGTATGTTTAAATTGGTTTGTTTGTATATCTGAGTTGGTTTTGATATATGAATGTTTGTTTCTGAATGTGTACACACACACACGTGTG